TGCTGACCTGTGTCAGGCTGGCCATGTATGCGATGAACATAGTTGAGTATCTGTCTGGGACTGTGACAAGACATCAGAGTATTGGTATGTGTCTGTGACAGTGTCACCAGGAGCAAGGAAATGGATCCTGACTGACTGGGATAGTGGCTGTGACTTTCTGAGGCTCTAACAGGAAGGTTTGAGCTGTTTGCTCAGTGAGGCCAAAAGGACCAATTATGAGACTCACCCTGGGTAAACAGTTAGATCCGGGACCACGTGGGACCAGACCATAGCTCCTATTGCCACTGTAAAGGACATATCTCTTTCAAGACCAAGCCAGCCTTGAGGAAGTCAGCATGCCCTGATCCTTCCTGAGGGCTGGTAGAACCTCCTTTCCACTGTGCTGCTTCCTGGTGACATCACACAAGTCACATCCTATCTTCTAGAACAGAGCCCTCAGGATACTGCCCAGTTGCCCAGGGCAACCTGGGAATTGCTCCACCCAAACTGGCAGGCAGGGTTACCACTGTGGAGGGGGCCGGGGAGAAGGGGCCAGTGTGACACCCTCTCATCTCCCAGAGGGGAGACTGAGGCAGCCACCCAGCTGGCTAGATGGTGAGTAGGTGACCTAAGAACTTGTCCACCCCTAACTGTCCAGAATACTGGTTGCTGACAGAAGGTGGTCACTTGCTACAAGCCTCGTAGCAAGTACAAGGGGTGATAGGGGGAGTAATAGGGGGAGAAGGAGCCTCAGGTTAGAAGCAGGGAGACTTATGTCTTCATCTCTGCTTGTCTTTGCCAGCTGGCCTTGGTTTCTCTCCATGTGTAGCAGTGAGCCAGTATTCTGAGGGTCTTTAAATCTGGTACTGAGAGTTGAACAGTGTTATGGACCAGGCAAGTGCCCAGTGAGTCCTGCTTCAATAGCTATTGGGGGAAAATGTTGTGTGAAACTCTAGATACCCTTTTGGGCTCCCCATACCAAGAGGTCTCCCTAAGGGCTCTGGCTTGCTGTGCAATTCAGGGCCCTCCTATGGCCCTTAACTGCTCTCTCTACACCTTGGGTAATGATTCCTCACACTCTAGTGAGCTTCTCAGCTTACTAAGCACCTTCCCATATACACGCTAAGCTTCTACACACACACACACACACACACATACACACACACACACACACACACACACACACGCCATGCCTGCTTAGTGCTGCCTTTTTCAGGACTAGGACCTGGACAGGAACTAGAACCAGACCTGCCCAGGGGTTCACAGAAGCATCTTATCCACTTCTCATGGACAGACTAGGCTCTTGAGCAATGGGCGTAATGAGCTAATGAGTGTGGCAAGTGTCATGTTTTTCTAGACTTTTCTGTGGTCAAATCTTTTTTTTTTTTTTTCTGGTCCTGGAGCTTAAACTCTGGGCCTGAGCACTGTCCCTGAACTTTTGTGCTCAAGGCTACCTCTCTACCACTTTAGCCACAGCTCTACTTCTGGCTTTTTGTGGTTATTTGGAGATAAGAGTCTCATGGACTTTTCTGCCTGGACTTGGCTTTGAACCAACATCCTCAGATCTCAGTCTCCTAAGTAGCTAGGAATAAGGGTTTAAGCTACTGACACCTGGCTCTGTGGTCTAATCTTTTATGAGAATTTTACCAATCCCATCAAGATGTTACCTTAATTATTTGTTTTTGAGCTATACTTTTCTGGACAGTGTATTCCTTGCTTCTCTATCCCACTTCATTATAGTTTGGTGTACCTATCTGGTGATAAGTTTGGTAAACTGGAATATATGCAACTCTTCATTACAGTAATTCTTTTTTTTTTTTAATCGGTCATGGGGCCTGAACTCTGGGCCTGGGCGCTGTCCCTCAGCTCTTCAGCTCAAGGCTCGTGGCTCTACCACTTGAGCCACAGTGCCACTTCAGGTTCTTTCTGCTTATGTGGTGCTGAGGAATGGAACCCAGGGCCTCATGTATGCAAGACAAGCCCTCTACCACTGATCCACCTTCCCAGCCCATAATTCTTATGGTATAATATTATTCCAGATGTGGAAACAGGCTCAGAGACACCATATCTCCTGCTTCTGATCATATAGCTAAGAAGGAATAGAGCCAGGATTTGAATCATGCTCCGTAGCTAGGTTGTGGCCAATTATAATTCTACAGATTCTTTCCCTAGACCTTTCCCTACTTCTTGATTTCACTCCAAGCTGCAGGCCTTATCTCTGCTGCTCAGGGTGTTTGGAAAGAGGGAAGGGATCTACTTTGTCATTTTCAAGAGGCTGACAAAAGGCTTAGAGCCAGGGACACCTTAATTCCTGGGGGAAGGAGGGTTGCAAGGGCAAAGTAATAGGGACGGGGAGATATCCTCTGCCTGTCTGCTGGTCAGCTAGCCTGGTCTGAACTTAGACCCAAGGATCAGTCCAAAGGATTCATTCTATGTTCAGAAGTGAGTGATAGTTTAGATAGGGCCTTCCTGGGGTTCTTTCTGTCCCTAAGGTCAGTACTGTAGGGTGGAAAGTTCCTCCTGTTAATTTGCCTTCCCAGCCACCCCCTGCTGTCACCTCAGCCTTATCTTTTTCCCCTGGACTAGACAGTTAAGCAGGAGAGGTTTAGTATCCTGTTGCCTACTATCTGTAATATATGTATTATTGGGACCTGGCAAAGGCAGGAGCCACTAGGCAAGTGCTCTTTCTTTGCTCTTTTCCTTATGGCCTATCCTAGAGGCTACAGTTTACAAAGCAGGCTTTGGCGCTGCTATGGGCCACTTTAGTCTTCTGGGAATGATGGTGTCAGCTAGAAGCACTGAGGCCTGGGGAAGGCAGTGATGTGCATTTAGTTGGACCAGTGGCAGAGGAAGCAGTTGAGAGAGCCAGAGCCTGGGTCTCCCAAGCTGACAGCCAGCCCCTCTGCCACCTACTGATTCCCAGACACTTCTGAAAGAATGTGAGTTTAAAGTGTGTATGTGTGTGTGTGTGTGTGTGTGTGTGTGTGAGAGAGAGAGAGAGAGAGAGAGAGAGAGAGA